GGTGGGTGGGGGTGGGTGTTGAGGATTGCTTGCTGGAGACCAGCCGGGCATCTGTGTTAGCAGGATCTTGTGGTTGCTGCTGTGGAAAGGAGAGAGGGAGTGCTGGTTACTCTCTATCTGATTATTTTTAGCTTCTGATCAGTTACCGGTTTTCTGTGCTGTCTCAACTGTGTGAAGTTTGAATTGCGCTCCTCAGCTGGGTTGTAGAGCGCTTTTAGCCTGCAGATTGCTGGAATGTTTCGAGTGGGGAAATGATGGGGGCTAGGGGTAGGATGTCACAGCCTGAAGGTTATACTAGGGAGCACCCCCTTTCTCTGGCAGGTGGAAATAATCCAGACTTTTTTTTTTCTTAGAGGCTTCTACCTCTGCGCAGGTAGCCTGGGGTTTGGGCTGGTGGCCTGAAGTGTTTGTGTAGGTGTGTTGGGGGGTTGTTCTGTCTGTGTTTGGGGGTGGCTCCTTGGACTGGCCAAACTCGTATGGTTATAACCATCCTGCCTGATTGGAGTAGCCCTTGTCTGTTCTCAAATGGTGATTAATGTCATGCATCTAAGTGGATGTCTCTCTCTCGCCTGTCTTTCCTTTTTCAGAGCCCTTAGCTAAGTCACCTATTTGTTTCCTTGACCTTTTTTTTTTCCAGGTGTTTGTTTTTTTGGTTTTTTTTGACATGCCATTTCTTTAGTCTCTCTGTTTATATTTACTTATTTTTTTTAAGTTCCAGAGCTTGCTGGTTCTGTTTTTGTTTCCCATCAAACATTTTTCACTTCTGCCTTCTTCTTAGCTCCAGCAGCAAGTTGAGGTGGTCTGGGAAAGATGTTTCTACATTGGGCATTTTCTAAGTGGAAAGTCTTCATTTGAAACTGGGGTCTCTTTGGAGAGGGGCAGTCGTGTTACTGAGTCTTCAGCTGTTGGGATGAGAAACTTAGGCTTGAATCTCATCATCCTTGTGTAGGGCAAGGTGGCAAATTTCTGTGCTGTTGCCCGAGGTGGGGGTGGGGTGGTGGTATTAGTAACCTGATCTGATCCTTTCTGTGAGGGGCGAGAGAAGTAGACTAGTGCTATCTAGCTAATATTGGTTCCACATCTTGGCTTCCCATCGGGCCCTTGGTCTGGGGCTGCCCCCCCATGTTGATTGGGAGCTGTGCAGGCTCCCAGGGTGAACTCTGCCCCAAGCTGTAGCATGACCCAGTTTTTCCACTTGCCACACCCCATTCCTGCCCCTTTCCCAAATCTTCTTTTATGTCTCAGCCACTTTGCCGCTTGTCATGTCAGCACATTATCTGCCTGAGAAGTTTGGGGGTCTTATGTGGATGGGTGTCCCCTTCACTTGCTTGGGTTTGTCCTTGTGCCCAGCTCCAGCTTTTATGGAAGGGAGGAGGACGAGGAACCGAAAGATGTAACTGATTAGTGAGGGGGACGACATGGGGATTGCTGGGGAGCAGCCTTAAGAAAATGAATGGTTCTTTCTGGTAAGATCCAGGCTGGTGTTCCTTTCCCAAGGGAATGGGAGGGGCTTTCTTGTGCCTGGCCTGATCCTGGGCTGAGTGGGGGGAGGCTGATGGTGCTTTGTCAAGCTTAATGTCTCATGTTCCCTAGTATCTGCCTTGCTCAAGAAGGGCGGAGTCAGAAGCATATTAGGGCTAGTTCTGGGGGTCAAGAGCGAAGAGCATGTGTAGGATTGAAGGAAGCATATTATTGTCCAGCACTGTCCAGGTGCTGCTCATTTTTTCTTGGTGTAGACATCACTCCCATATGTTGGATAGGTGGCTCCTTCTAATCCGTGAGAGGTGGTTTAGGATCTATTGCTTGGACTCTTGGGGAAGGTAGCTGGTGAGGAGGAAACTGAGTTTCAGAGACTTCTGGTGGGTTCCCATTCCTCAACGTAAATCTTTTGGATATCAGAAATTTGAGGTTTTATGTTCTGACCGCAGCTCTACTGAGCCTTTGTTAAATCTTAGTACTGATGATTGAAACAATTATTATGATTGAGGGAGTAGTCTCGTCCCTCTTGTAGTATTACGTTCATGTCTGTCTTGGGTTTCTTTGCGTAGGACATTAGAGTGGCCTCTTGAGAACTGTGTCATCCCAGAATAGGTGTTAGGAGAAGTGGCATGTGGACTTGGGGCCAGGTAGTAATTTGGGAAGTCTTTGTGAGGGTAGTCTTTCCCCGGCTACCTCTATCAACCCCACCCCCCTCCCCTG